TGAAATGGTATAGGGTTTCCTGCCTGAGCAGGAAACCCTATACCATTATTATTATTATTGATCATCACACAGTCAGCCAGATGTTCAGACTGGATTTGGCATTTTGTCTACCTATCGAGTCCTTACCCAGGACCTGGGATAGGCAGATGTGGATGTTTGATGGTATTACAGATATCGTTGCAGGATGGAAGCAGTTCCTAGTAAGGCCGCCTTTTGCAATTGACTAATAGCGAATTTGTCAATGTCAATGGTTATTATTATTATTATTATTATTATTATTATTATTATTATTATTATTATTATTTAACAACCGTGGCAAGAAAAGTTGTAAAACGGGGCAAAACTCACTTAACAAATGTCACTTAACAAACTTTTCAACAGAAAGTTTGGGCTCTATTGGGGTCCTAAGTCTCCAGCCACTGCCCCATCAATTATCCTATGCTGAAGGGGAAAAATCTCAGATTGATGCTTGGAGCAGCTCACTTCATACCTCCCTCTATCTAATTCAGTATTTTGTAAGTTTTCAGAAACAGCCAAGTATCCCCCTGTTCGAAACACAAGTCAGCCCCCTAGGTTCCGATTACAGCAGGAAAAGAGTAAACAAGATAATTAATTAGGCAGGTGGGATCTTTATAACCCCTGGTTTTATGAAGCCCCTACAGCCAGTGTGGAAAAAAAAAACGTGAAAAATTCACGATGCAGAACCCTCCATAAAAAAAATTTGAAGGAAATCCTTTGCAAAATAATAATGGAGATGTGTGAATAATAATTTTAAAAAGCCTATGTGGTAACAAAAATAGCTTTGCATGTGATTAGCAGGTAGCAGTGGGAGAGCCCCGTTATATATTTATTTAATACAGTGTAAAGTGTAAATTAAGAAAAATAGGTGTGTCTGCGCACACATGCACAGAAGCACACGTACACAGGCAGTTGAAAGTTACAAACAGCACTGAAAATTGTATTACAGGTAGTCCTCGACTTACGACCTCAACTGAGCCCAAATTTTCTGTTGCTAAGTGAGACAGCTGTTAAGTGAATCACTGCAGTTGTTAATTAGTAACATGGTTGTTAAGTGAATCCGACTTCCCCATTGACTTTGCTTTTCAGATGTTCGCAAAAGCTGATCACATGACCCTGGGAGTGATGTATTGCTATGTCCATTGGTGACAGTTCTATTTAGTTTTGTTTGATTTGGATGTTTGATTTATGTGTGGTCTTTGGCTGTAATAAATTGATTGATTGACCCTCGGAGACCGCAACTGTCATAAATATGAGCCAGTTGCCAAACCTACAAATTTTGATCATGTGGCCAGAGGGATGCCACAATAGCTGAAAGTGTGAAAAACAGTCGTAAGTCACTTTTTTCAATGATGTAAACTTTGAACAGTCACTAAATGAACTGTTGTAAGTCGAGGACTATCTATCTATCTATCTATCTATCTTTCTATCTATCTATATCTATTTCTATCTATCTATATCTATCTGTCTGTCTATATCTATCTATCTATCTATCTATCTATCTATCTATCTATCTACCTATCTATCTATATCTATTTATCTATCTATCTATCTATATCAGGGGTAGGCAACCTTGGCTCTTCTATGACTCATGGACTTCAACTCCCAGAATTCCTAAGCCAGCCATGCTGAGGGGAAAGGGAGAGTTTCTGAGCTGAGCCATGTTGGCTCAGGAATTCTGGGAGTTGAAGTCCACAAGTCATAAAAGAACCGAGAGAGAGAGAGAGAGAGAGAGAGAGAGAGAGAGAGAGAGAGAGAGAGAGAGAGAGATTGATTGACATTAAAGACGATGAATGCCACCAAACAGCCGAAGTGAATTGAACTTTGATGCAAGAGAACAGAGATGCATTCATAGCGTGGTTTGTGAAAATGTTAATGGCTGCCATAGTTATTTAATATTAAAATGGTCAATGGCCATCGTCGTTATTTAAATCACAGCAATTTGCCCAATTAACATTTCATCTTTTTCCCCCCCTCTGGATTCCAAAGAACTTACTAACATGTCATCTCATCTTATCTCCCCCCAAACAACGCTGCAGGGTAGGTTCAGCTGACAGGAAAGGGGCTGTCCCAAAATCAGCTAGATTTGCAGAGCCAAAGATGGACTCAAATCAGACAGTTTCTCCTAATCCAACGGTTTCCTTTCCCTACTTAACGTGCCTGTCAAGGTTCTGACAGACAAGACACAATAAATCAGAACTCCGAGGCTCGAGACTTCCTCAAAGAACATGTTTATTGGTGCCACAGTATCCGGCATGGTCAAAAGTGAAACCAAGTCTGAAATTCCCTTCAAAGAGAGACAGTAATACAAAGTTGAACTTCCCACCCCAATGCTAGGCAATCCGATATGTTCCCCCATAGCAAAGTTTGGCGGGCTTTCTAACCAAACACTCACGCCTGCCCCCCTCATCTAAGAAACAGAAATGACCTTGGTTCCCACGGGACAGTAAATCCACCGCACCCCCTCCCATTCTTGTGGCAACCTAGGACAAACAAAATGGCCACAGCCAGATTCGTTATAGAATTGACAGTGCCAGGCAAATCTAGCTAGCTGTGTGTAGTAAACTACATTAGCAGCTAAGCTGGCCAGGAGAACACAATCGGCGGTATATTCAGTGGTTTAGGCTTACGCACAACACGGTTTGATGTGGTGGCTGGACCCAGACAGCACAGGTAGTCTTTGACTTATGACCATGGGAGGCTGCAAACGGCCGTAAACGCAAGCCTATTGTCAAGCATCCAACCAGGATCAGGTGACTACAGGGAGGGGCAGCCATTGGAACTTCAAATCTGATCTTAAGTACCTTTTGGGGAGGGTCCTTTGTAACTAAGCCCTGATAACGTTACCTAATTGGGTCATGAGATGTCTGCAGGCAACTAAGCTCAAAGAGCACAAAGAACCCTCAGTTTATTTTATGTCACCATCCAAATACCTCCTCAAATTCATCTCCAGGAAAGACTTAGAGGCTTGCTTTGGAAATAAAGGCAGATTTACATGCAGTCACTTACAAGAGTTCATTAATGACTGTTCAAAGTTACAAGGGCACTGAAAAAAGTGACTTATGACCGTTTTTCACACTTACGACCGTTGCAGCATTCCCCACGGTCACATGATCAAAATATAGATGCTGGGCAACTGACTCATATTTATGACGGTTTGCAGTATCCCGGGGTCACGTGATCCCTTTTCTGACCTTCAAGGGGGAAGCTAGATTCACTTAACGACCGTGTTACTAACTTAACAACTTTAGTGATTAACAACTGCAGCAAGAAAGGTTGTAAAGTGGGGCAAAAACTCACTTAAAACAAATTGTCTCACTTAACAACGGAAATTGGTCGTAAGTCCAGGGCTACTTGGACTTATTTACAGCCTGGTTATGCCTTGTTTTATAATGGGTACAATTGAGCTGCACTTTCTTTTTTTCTTACATTTTTCTCTGCCTTCTCGCCTGGGGAGGGGGAGGGGAAAAAAATCAAGGCAGCATCCATGACGTCACTCACCCCCAGTGACGTAGGGCCCGGCTTGCAACCCGATCGACCCCCCCCGTCCGCAAACCGAGCGCTGAAACCTGCGCTGCCAGCCGCACCCAGGAGTCTAATTGAAAAAGGGGGGGGCGTACAAAGTCACCCCCCCGAGCGCGCATCTTTGCGCGGGGAGGGAAAGGAAAGATCTGGCGCTCCTCCACTCGGTCACTCTCCGCGATCCGGGGACCAACCGCGCGTCCAAGCCTCGTTGCAAAGAGTGAGGGGGGGGGAGTACCCGGGACCGACCCCGTCCACGCATCGGTGGGAAGATTAGTGCGAAGGCTGGGGGGGCGCAATCGTCCACGCATCGGTGGAAAGGGAGGGGGAAGGCGGGGGGGGGAAACTATCTGGGATCGACCCCGTCCTCTCGGTGGTGCAAAGGGGGGGCACAGTGGGGGAGGGGCTACCCGGAAACGACCTCGTTCACGCATCAGGGCACAGTGGGGGAGGGGCAATCCGGGAACGACCGCGTTCACGCATCAGTGCAAAGGGGGGGGCAAAGTGGGGAAGGGGGCTATCCGTGACTGTCCCCGTTCACGCATCGGTGCAGGAGGGAGCAGAGGGAGGGAGGGGCTATCTGGGACCGACGGCGTTCAAGCATCGGGGCACAGTGGGGGAGGGGCTATTCGGCAACGACCCCGTTCGCGCATCAGTGCAGAGTGGGGGGGGGCAGAGTGGGGGAGGGGCTATCCGGGAACGACCCCGCTCACGCATCGGTGCAGAGTGGGGGGGGGACAAAGTGGGGGAGGGGCTATCCGGGAGTGACCCCTTTAACACATCGCTGCAGAGGGGGGGAGGAGCCCGTCCACGTATCGGTGCAAAAAAAGGGGGCAGAGTGCGGGAGGGGCTATCCGGGACCGACCCCGTTCACGCATCACTGCGAAGAGTGGGGAAGGGGATATCCGTGACACCCCGTTTACGCATCGGTTGCAGAGGGAGGGAGGACCCCATCCACGTATCGGTGCAAAGGGGGGGGCAGAGCGGGGGAGGGGCTATCCGGGACCGACCCCGTTCAAGCATCGGTGCAGGGGGGGAGGACCCCATCCACGTATGGGGGCAGAGTGGGGAAGGGGTTAACCGCGACCGACCCCGTCCTCGCATCGGTGCAAAGAAGGGGGAGGACCCCATCCACGCATCGGTGCAAAGACTGGGGAGGGAAGCAACCGACCCCGTCCTCGCATCGGTGCAAAGGGGGGGAGGACCCCATCCACGCATCGGTGCAAAGAGGGGGGGAGGACCCCATCCACGCACCGGTGCAAAGACTGGGGAGGGGAGCAACTGAGACCGACCCCGTCCACGCATCGGTGCAAAGACTGGGGGAGGGTTCCTCGCGCGGCGCCAAGCCACGCGGCGTCTCACCTTCCTTCCCTCTCTCTCCCCTCTTCCCCAAGCCCGCTTTGCATCCGCCTGCCGGAACGCGCACACAGCCCCGGGGCGGAGGCGGGGCCTGGGCGCGCGCGTGCGAGGGGGCGGCGCGGGGGGGTCCCTCGGAAATGCAGCGGCGGAGCAGCAGGTGGTGCTGCCGCTCAGCCGCAGGAGCGAGCGGGGGGTCCGCAGCCGCCATTAAACAATAGGAGCAGCAGCAGCGAGCGAGGCGCGGGCGAGGCCCGGGAATTGCGCCGCTGCCCTCCCCGTCCTTCCGGCCCTTGGAAGCCCGGCCAGGCCCGCAGCCCCGAAGGAGGCAGCAGCGGTAGCAGTAGCGGTCTAGACGCCTCCGAGGCCTTGCCGCGCCCGGGGGGGGGGGGGCTCTGCAACTACCTCGCTGCCGGGCGAGCAGCGGCCCGGGGGGGGGCTCCGACTCTCGGCGGGCGCGGGGCATCCGGCCCGGCCCGAGCAGCGGCGGCTGGAGCCACCCACAAAGGCCGCTGCTACCGACGCCGCCTGGTGCAAAGTCGCCGCCTGCGCCTCCTCGCGCCCCGGCCGCCTTTCCCCGCTCGGCGGCGGCAGCAGCAGGAGCAGCCGCGGGTGCAGCCGCAGGAGCTGCAGCCGGAGGGCCGTCCGGAGCCGGCTCCCTTCGGTTTGGCTGCCCGATTGGCATGATGTTTCCGCAAAGCCGGCACTCGGTAAGGGAGGAGAAGCAGGAGGAAGGGGTTTCGGTGGGGGGGGGGGGAGAGCTGGATGGGGTGTTGCTCGGGGCCCGGGCAGGAACGTCGTGGGAATGCGGGATGGGGGGGTTGAGTTGGGTTCTGGGAAGGGGGAGGGAGGGCAGTGAAAGGCCGCGGAGTGCATTGAGGATGGGGGACCCCCGGAGGATATCTCGGGGGTCTCGGATGGGGCTGGGGGGCCATGGGGAGGAAGGAGGGGGGAAAAAACAGTCGCGGAAGAGAAAGGGAGGGGGGAGAAAGAAAAGCCCGGGTGGGGGGGAGTAGAGTTCAGGAGAGGTCGAGCAAACCCCCCCCTCAATATTAAGAGGAGGGGTAATCGGAGATTGCAAGGCGTGATTCCCCCTACCCCACTCTCTAGTTTTGCAAAGGGGTGGAAGTGGGAAGAGGGGGGGAGGGTGGTCCAGGGAGGAGGGGAAGGAGAATTGGGGGAACCAGGTGCGGGTGGTGCAGCCAGAAAGGGGGGGATGTTTTGGGGAAGGGGTTACCCATGCAGGAGATATCCCCCTCCCCCCCCAAGCAAAAAGAAATTCTTAAGGGGGAAGCCGGGGAATTGGAAGGGCGTGGACCTGGAGCAGGTGGGGGAGGGAAGAACCTCTGGGCTGTAGGGGGATGGGGACCCCGGTGATTGCCCCCCCCTCCAGAGATGAGGGGCACAGGCCTGGTTGGGCACCAATTGGATGGAAGGGGGACCAAGAAGTGGTTGGAGCCCTGATAGTGGCAAGGTGACTGGTCCTCATTGAGGAAGGGAGTTCACCCTCCAGTTTGGGAGTTGGGGGCCAGAGAGCAGCTTGGGAAGGCCCACGAAAAAATCTATCAGGGGGGCCAAGAATGGGTCAGATGGGTTGGGGCTAGGAAAAGTGGAATTGGATCAGAAGAGAGGATGGAAGTTGCAAAAATATGGGGATTGGGGGAGGTTATAAATAAACTCAGCCGCCCCCCCCCTTTGCACTCGGATATCTATCTCTAGGTTGAAATAGATGAAACAGGATCCACTTATAATGAAACTGCTAGAAACAAGGCCGCCTTGCCCTGTGCTTGCTGGGAAGTGAGCTTCTAAACGCCTCTGCAGAAAGAAAAAAGCTGTTTTTTTTAATAGGATGTAAAAAAAAATACAAGAAGTCCTTGACTTGCAACAGTTCACTTAGTGACCGTTCAAAGTTACAATGGCCCCCAAAAAAGTAATTTACGACCGGTTTTTTTGCACTTAACCGTCACAGCCTCCCCGTGATCACATGATCAAAATTCAGATGCTTGGCAACTGGCTCCTACATAACCACAGTTGCAGCGTCCCAGGATCACGTGATCAGCTTTTGTGACCTTCCGACAAGCAAAGTTGGATTCACTTAACAACCGTGTTACTAACACAGCAACTGCGGTGATTCATTTGACAAATGTGGCAAGAAAAGTCATAAAATGGAGCAAAGCTCCCTTTACAAATTTCTCACTTAGCAACAGAAATTTTGGGCTCAATTGTCGACGTAAGTCGAGGACTACCTGTAGAATGCAATGGAATGAAATGCAAAGAGGGCACCGGATTTCCGAGCGCAGGAAAGCAGGTTTAATTTTGCTTTTCCAAAGAAGAAGGTGGAGACTGGAAAAAAACAAACACAAAAGGCGAAAAATAAAGCAAAAACTGATGTGTCCCACCCAGAGCCCAGGTCAACAGACCTGGAAAAGATTGTGTGTCCCCAGGTTGTACTGTTGTGGTAAAGCTGTTCAGGATCCATGACATGTTTGTCACAAAAGTCCACCAGATCCTAAAATAAAATCCGGCTGATTTTGTGTCGAATAATCAGGAAGAACAATCTGGTGTTTATGCTGAAGAGTTGTCCCAAGGACTGGATTTGTTAAAATTATTGGAGAACGCCAAAAAAAAAAAAAAAAATTTCTGGTGAAAAAGAAACATGAATGCATTACAGTAAATTAAATTAATGTATGCATAATATTCTCAGATGTGTTTGGATTTGCCCACATCTAATTAAGCTGTGATGGGCTTTTTTCTTCCAATGAGCTCTGAACAGACTCTGTGTTACAACTTAGGGTGGGTGATGTTTGGACTACTCCATGACTAATTTAACAAATTTGTGTTAAAAACAAACCATGAATTAGCAGGAGGCTTGCAAAAGTGCATGGGGATGGGTGAAAAAAAATAATACAGGTAATCCTCAGCAGTTCATTTAGTGACCATTCAAAGTTACGGCAGCACTGGAAAAGGGACCTATGACCATTTTCCACACTTAACGACGGTTGCAGCATCCCCATGTTCACATGATTTATATTTGGATGCTTGGCAACTGACTCATACTTATGATGGTTGCAGTGTCCTGGGGTCACGTGATCCCCTTTTGCAACCTTCTGACAAGCAAAGTCAATGGGGGAAGCCAGATTCACTTAACCACGTTACTAATCAATTGCAGCGATTCAGTTAACAACTGCAGCAAGAAAAGTCGTAAAATGGGGCAAAATTCACTTAACGGTCTCACTAAGCAACATAAATTATGGACTCGATTGTGGTCATAAGTCAAGGACTGTGTAATCCTGATGTTCAACATCTGAAACCGGAGAAGCACGGAGCCCCTCCCATCACAAATTGTTGTGACGGCTAAAGGCAGAGAGAATGGCTGGATTGCTGAAATCAGATGCTTCTAGTAAAACATCTGTTTGCAGCTGTCCAGCTATGAAACTGATATATCTAGCCTGACCTGGATGATAGCAGTCTTCCAGTATCTCAGGGGCTGCCCCAAAGAAGAGAGAGTCAAGCTATTCTCCAAAGAGCCTGAAGGCAGGACAAGAAGCAACAGATGGAAACTCATCAAGGAGAGAAGCAACCTAGAACTAAGGAGAAACTTCCTGACAGTGAGAACAATTAACCAGTGGAACAACCTGCCTCCAGAAGTGGTGAATGCTCCAACACTGGAAGTTTTTAAGAAGAGACTGGACAGCCATTTGTCTGAAATGGTATAGGGTTTCCAGCCTGAGTGGGGGGTTGGACTAGATGACCTCCAAGGTCCCTTCCAACTTTATTATTATTATAATTATTATTATTATTATTGCTAATGGGGTGCCAAGTCCAAACTTCAGTTTCAGCTCTTGTACCTAGCAGGACAACATTAATTATAGTCTGAAATTTGTCTGAAATGGTAAAGGGCAGGGGTAGGCAACCTCGGTCTTTTATGACTCATGGACTTCAATTCCCAGAATTCCTGAGTCAGCGTAGAATTCTGGGAGTTGAAGTCCATGAGTCATAAAAGAGCCGAGGTTGCCTACTCCTGGTATAGCGTTTCCTGCCTGAGCAGGGGGTTGGACTAGATGACCTCCGAGATCCCTTCCAACTTATTTATTTATTTATTATTATTACTATTATTATATCGAAACAAGTCAAATTACAGGTAGTCCTCGACTTAACGGCCACAATTGAATCCAAAATTTCTGTTGCTAAGCATGGCAGTTAAGTGGGTTTTGCCACATTTTACGACCTTTTTTGCCACAATTGTTAAGTGAATCACTGCAGTTAAGTGAATCATATAGTCGTTAAGTGAATCTGGTTTCCCCCCCACCCCCATTGACTTGGCTTGTCAGAAGCTGGCTGGGAAGGTCATAAATGTTGATCACATGACCCTGGGATAAATACATGCCAGTTGATACCTGTAATGGGTATTTTAGACCAGTGTCTTCCAGCCTGAGTCATTTGCAGAGGTGAGAGTTCCACTCCACTAATCCAAGGGTAGGCAACCTTGGCTGTTTTATGACTCGTGGACTTCAACTCCCAGAATTCCTGGGCCAGGATGGCTCAGCTTGGAAACCTCTCCATTTTCCCTCAGCGTGGTTGGCTAAGGAATTCTGGGAGTTGAAGTCCATCAGTCATAAAAGAGCCAAGGTTGCCTACCCCTGCACTAATCCCTTCCCCCCCCCCATGGTGGAGAATTATGGGAGTTGAAGTCCACCTGTCTGGAAGTTGGGAAACAAAATTGACAAGACATTGAAGGCCTCGATTATCTCAAAGGGGATTTTCTGGGCCATGCTCCAAGCAATTTATGTAGCCACTCTTTGTATGGACAGCTGGCTGTATAATGTATTTAATAATAAATCAATAAAAGCCAAATCTTGGCTACCAGATCTGTACATGTAGTCCTCAACTTATAACCACAATTGGGATTTATGAATTGTGGACCTCAACTCCCAGAATTCCTTAGCCAGGCACGTGTGCCTGGCTGAGGAATTCTGGGAGTTGAAGTCCACAAGTCATAAAAGGGCCAAGTTTGAAGACCCCTGCTCTATCATTAAGCAATGCAATCATGAAGCAAGTTGCAGCCTAATTTATGACCTTTTTGCCAGGATGGGTAACAAAATCACTGGTCATTAAGCAAATCATGCAGATATTAGGCAAATCCAGCTTCCTTTGTGGACTTTGCACTCTGGGAGAGTTGCAAATGATGATCACTTGATCCCAGGAACCTGAAACCATCGTAAACACATACCAGTTGCCCCTAGATTTTGATCACATGACTGGTGACACTGCAGCAGTCGTAAGTGCAAGGACTAGAGATAAGTCCCCTTTTTTCAGCATTATTGTAACTTCAAGCAGCTGTTAAGTAAATAGCCACAAGTTGAGGATGATTTTGTACTGCCATCCGGAGTCTGTTGGAGTTAGGCAACAAATAAATTTAAAAAATAATTAAATTCAAATACTTGACAACTGACTCACGCTTATGAAGGTTGTGGTGTCCCAGAGTCACGTGATCCCCTTTTGCAACCTTCTGACGAGCAAAGTCAATGGGAAAGTCAGATTCACATAACAACTGTGTCACTAAACAACTGCAGCGTTTCACTTAACTCTAGCCAGAAAACAAGGCAAAACTCACAGCAACTGCCTCGCTTAGCAACAGAAATTTTTGGGTCCCATTGTGATCATAGATTTGAGGATTATCTGGGGATCTTTCTGGATCCCTTTGCTGCCCTCTGTTGGCTACAGGGAGTTTTGCAGCCTGATATTGCAAACCCCAAATTACACAGTAATAAAGATGCATCACTTTACACCATGAATCTTCAAACCTGGCCCTTTTATGACTTGTGGACTAACTCCCAGAATTCCTCAGCCAAACCAAGGAGAGAAGCAACCTAGAACTAAGGAGAAATTTCCTGACAGAACAATTAATCAGTGGAACAACCTGCCTCTAGAAGTTGTGGATGCTCCAACACTGGAAGTTTTTAAGGAAAGATTGGAGGACCATTTGTCTGAAATGATATAGGTCAGGGGTCTTCAAACTTGGCCCTTTTATGACTTGTGGACTTCAACTCCCAGAAGGCCTGGCTGAGGAATTCTGGGAGTTGAAGTCCACGAGTCATAAAAGGGCCAAGTTTGAAGACCCCTGCTTTACGCAGTAGGTGAAGGAATTGTGTTCAGATGATTAGATGCACTCTGACCTGTGTGTACAGAAAGTACCACCTTTTAGCATCCTTCCCGTTTATACTAAAATTAATTCTTTAGAAGTAAAAGACTGTTCCAAAAACTGCTGGATTTTATGAAATTGATGAAAAGAGAGGAAGAGAATGGCAGAAATATTTTTCTCTCTGTGACCTTGCAAACACACTCACCACTCCCAAGCGGTACATCCCATAGTTTATACACATAGTCCTCAACTTACAGCCACAATTGACCCCTAAAATTTCTGTTGCTAAGCAAGTCGGTTGTTAACTGAGTTTTGCCCCATTTTAAAACCTGGAGTAAATCTGGCTTCTCCGTTGACTTTGTTGCAAAACAATCACATGGCCCTGGGACACTGCCACCGTCATAAATATGAGTTAGTTGCCAACCATCCAAATTTTGATCAATATTGATCAAATGTTGTTGTTAGTTGCGAAGTCATGTCCGACCCATCGCGACCCCATGGACAACATTCCTCCAGGCCTTCCTGTCCTCTACCATCTTCTGGAGTCCATTTAAGGTCACGCCTACTGCTTCAGTGACTCCATCCAGCCACCTCCTTCTCTGTCGTCCCCTTTTTCTCTTGCCCTCGATCTTTCCCAGCATCAGGCTCTTCTCCAGTGAGTCCTTCCTTCTCATTAGGTGGCCAAAGTCCTTGAGTTTCAACTTCAGAATCTGGCCTTCTAAAGAGCAGTCGGGGTTGATCTCTTCTAGGACTGACCGGTTTGATTGCCTTGTGATCAAATGTTGCTGTGTAAAATAAGATGAGATAACCTTTATTGATCAATTTTGAGCATGGGGAGGCTGCAATGGTTGTATGAAAAATGGTCATAAGTTACTTTTTTCAACTTTGAACCGTCACTAAGCAAACTCTTGTAAGTCGAGGACAACCTGTACATGCAGACCAGACCAGAGATTGGTTGCGGTATCCATGATATTTTACTTTTTATTTATTTATTTGCTTACTTGCTTTACAGGTGGTCAAAATGTTTATTTCCTTATTATTAGATTTATCCCCCAACTTTATTTGTGTAACTCGAGGCAGTTCCCACCTCCTATTCTCCCCATAACAACAACCCTGTGAGGTGGCTTGGATTGAGAAACGGACTGGCCCAAAGTCCACCAGGTCCTAGCCCAGGGTAGGCAACCTTGGCTCTTTTATGACTCGTGGACTTTAACTCCCAGAATTCCTAAGCCAGCCATGCTGAGGGGAAAGGGAGAGGTTTCCAAGCTGAGCCATGCTGGCTCAGGCATTCTGGGAGTTGAAGTCCACGAGTCATAAAAGCCCAGGTTGCCTACCCCTGTCCTAGCCTCTTGGTTTCTTGGTTCATAATCTTCACTGCTATTCCACACGGGCTCTCAAAATGTTGCTGTGTAAAATAAGATAAGATAATCTTTGTTGTCGTTTTTTTACTTGTGAGCACACTGGCCCTCATTAAAAATAAAATTCTGTTGCCTGCTCTTAAAAGAAAGATACCTATTCATACACATTCATAACACACATATACGCATGCTATAAACATATACATACATATTTACACCCATACTACTACTATTACTACTACTACTACTACTACTAATAATAATAATAATAATAAAAGTTGGAAGGGACTTTGGAGGTCATCAAGTCCAACCCCCTGCTCAGGCAGGTAACCCTATACCATTTCGGACAAATGGCTGTCCAGTCTCTTCTTAAAAACTTCCAGTGTTGGAGCATTCACCACCTCTGGAGGCAGGTTGTTCCACTGGTTAATTGTCCTAACTGTCAGAAAGTTTCTCCTTAGTTCTAGGTTGCTTCTCTCCTTGATTAGTTTCCATCCATTGCTTCTTGTCCTGCCTTCAGGTGCTTTGGAGAATAGCTTGACTCCCTCTTCTTTGGGGCAGCCCCTGAGATATTGGAAGACTGCTATCATATCCCCCCTTGTCCTTCTCTTCATTAAACTAGACATGCCCAATTCCAGCAACCGTTGCTTGTATGTTTTAGCCTACAATCCCCTGATCTTTGTTGCTCTTCTCTGTAGTCTTTCTAGAGTCTCAACATCTTTTTTACATCGTGGTGCATTCAGTGGGTTCAGAAAGTATTCAGACCCCTTTTGCTTTTGTCAGTTTTGTTATGCTGCAGCCTGATTGTATAGTTGTTGAAATTAATTCTTTTTCTCATTAATCTACACTTGGTACCCCATAATGAGAAAGTGAAAATTTTAGAAATGTCTGAAAATTTATTAAAAAGTAAAAAACCTGAAAGATCACATGGCATAAGTATTCAGATGCTTTGCAACAACACGTGTAATTTAGCTCTGGTGCCTCCCATTTCTCTTGATTGTTGCTGACATGTTTCTACACCTTGATCAGAGTCGACCTGCGGTAAATTAAATTGATTGGACATGATTTGGCAAGGCACATACCTCTCTATAGAAGACCTCACAGTTGACAGTGCATGCTGTAGCAGAGCAAAAGCTATGAGGTCAAAGGAGCTGCCTGCAGAGCTCAGAGACAGGATTATTGCAAGGCACAGATCTGGGGAAAGTTACAGTAAGATTTCTGCTGCACTGAAGGTTCCTAAGAGTACAGTGGCCTCTATAATTCTCAAATGGAGGAAGTTTGGTACAACCAGGACTCTTCCAAAGGCTGGTCACTGGGTCAAACTGAGCAATCGGGAGAGAAGGGCCTTAGTAAGAGAGGTGACCAAGAACCCAATGACCACTCTGACTGAGCTCTGGAGATCCTATGTGGAGATGGGACAGAGTTCCAGAAGGACAACCATCACTGCATCCCTCCACCAATCTGAGCTTTATGGCAGAGTGGCTAGACCAAGGGCCTTCAAACGTGGCCCTTTTATGACTTGTGGACTTCAACTCCCAGGAATTCTGGGAGTTGAAGTCCTCAAGTCATAAAAGGGCCACGTTTGAAGACCCCTGATTTATGTCTTATAAAGAAGTCTAATGATACAAGCAGGCCTTGACTTACAGCAGTTTGTTTAGTGACCATTCCAAGTTACAACGGCACTGAAAAAAACTGCCTTATAGCTGTTTTTCACACTTAACGACCCCCATGGTCACATGATCCAGATTCAGACTCTTGGCAATGGACTCATGTTTATGACGGTGGCAGTGTCCTGGGGGGGCTGCGTGATCCCCTTTTGCGACCTTCCGACAAGCGAAGCCAATGGGGAAGCCAGATTCACTTAACAACCACCACCAATTTAACAACTGTGGTGGTTCACTTAACTGGCAAAAAACGTTGTAAAATGGGGCAAAACTTGTTTAATAAATGTCTCATTTAGAAACAGAAATTTTAGACTCACTTGTGGCTTCCTTAAACTAAAACCAGCTGAATCACCTCATAACCTAGGGTGGAGTGTAAACATGGTCACGGCAGCCCCTAAATCATAGTTTGTGCCATTTGCTTTGACAGTGCCATGTATGGTTGGTTCGAGGAGTCTTGAGGACTATCATCCCGAGCAGGCAGTTTAGCAATACACCAAATAAAACACAATTAAATCAGGCTCCTAGGCTCATTTTTTAATCAGCTAAAGGATATTTCTCTTCTCCCCCCCCCCCAATTCTGTTTCAGGCTTCTTCTCATCTGCCTCAGCAGTTGAAGTTCACAACTTCGGATTCCTGCGACCGGATTAAAGATGAATTCCAGTTGCTCCAGGCGCAATATCACAGGTAAATAGGCTGGTTTTTCTCCAGCTTTCAGCCAACAGTTGTCTGAACGGTGATTTCTAGGCCAGGATGTGATGAAATTGAGGCTCGTGAAATTGAAAAGACGGTTGGATCCCAAGGGACTCAGCATAATTGATCACTCAGGCGTGTATTTGCTCAATTTTTGCTTATCAGGATCTCAGCCATGTGCAGTTGTGCAAAAAGGTCATTGGAAGAGAACGGCGTCTCTTTACCTCAGCAACTTTTAAGATGTGTGGACTTCAATTCCCAGAATTCCCCAGCCAGCCTCCTGGGTTAAACCCTTTGGATTCAAACATGCTTGCTAGTCTTTTGCACATCATCCAGAGATTTTCCCCAGAGATTCCAGTATGATCTCCAGATCTGCCTCTCCCCTCTTTTTGAGATCCCCTTTCTATGCATTTTGTCAAACAATTGCGAATCCATCATCATTTTGCAATAATTTAAAACACTGAAAAAAAAAATCTTCATTCCTGGATCCTTCCGTTTAAACCCCGGATGCAATTTGGAAATTGGGGCATGTTTTATAAGCTGCATTCTGTTTTTAAAAAAATCTAGAGCAGGGCTGTCAAACTCAATTTCATTGAGGGCCATATCAGCATTGCAGTTGCCCTTGGGGGGTCGGGTGGGTGTGGCCTACTGGGTGGGCATGTATAGTGTGGGTGTGGCCTACTGGGTGGGCGTGGCCAGCATTACATCATTCACGTCAAGGGGGCCTGTGGGGGCCTGGGCAGGAGGGGGACAGATCTGAGGGTCTCTGGCAGAAGGGGGTGGGACCAGGGCAGAGCCCATCAAGCCGGATATGTGAAGTAGGCGAGGGCCATTAGCTGGCCACTTCCAGGCGATGGTGCATTTCTTCATTCCTCACAAAGGGTGACACCTCCCCAGCATGCACCCAGGGGGCGGGGGCGACACAGCAGGGGCTGGTTCCTCGCTGTTTCCGGACGGCCTTGTGGAGCTAAGACTGAATGCGTTTCAGCATAAATGGCCACCACAAAATCGTACCTTGGCTCCCGGCTGGCCTGGGCCAGGACCAAGGCATCAGGGGCCGTTCCCTCACTGTTTCCAGGATGGCTTCGCGGGCCGCATGAAACCACTTTGCGGGCCGCATCCGAGCCTTGTGTTTGACATGTCTGACCTAGAGGATGGTATGGGATCTCAAGTTCCAGAAACAGGTACCTGGGTTTTTGATCACATGACCGGAAAGATGCAGCAACGGTCGTATGGCTGAGGACCCATTGTCAAATCACATTTTTTTCCAGTGCCTTTGTAACTTTGAATGGTCACTGAACAGAAGTTTCCAACGGCAGAGAAGCCCCCTCCCCTTTGTCCCCCGTGCCCACCTCCCCAGTCTTCCTCTTTTTTTACAGCCTGAAGTTGGAATGCGACAAACTGGCCAGCGAAAAATCGGAGATGCAGCGCCATTACGTGATGGTAAGTTTCGCACTCGCAATCAACCTGGGGGGGGGGGTGTCCCGCAGAGAAGAGCAGCAGGTCCTGTGAGGCAAAGTTGCAAATGACCCTCCCCCCATATTTGTCCCATAGAGAGGAACAGGGAACAGCCCCCCTCCTGTTCAAATGCAAGTAATAGGAAGCTTGGGGGGGGAGGGGCAAGGCCCCCATAAGTCAGATGCCTCCTCCCCCTCCACCCAAGGAATCAATCCCTTTGAACTACAGATACACACACACAGACACACCAGTTACTGCCTTAAGAGCTGTTCTCAATTGGATTCTGGTTCTAGATTCTTCCCCTCAGTCCAAAAACCCAAGTCCATTTTAATTTTATGTCTTTATTTTTATTACTTGATTAAATTTATATGCCACCCATCTCATCATGGAGCAATTCTAGTGGTGTCCTGTCCTGCTTTGCCCTGTCCTGTCTCCTTCCTTCCTTCCCTCTCCTTCCTTCCCTCCCTCCGCTCCTTCCTTCCTTCCCCCCTCCCTCCCCTTCTCTCCTCCTTCCTTCCTTTCTCCTTCCCTCCCTCCCTCCCCTCCCTCCCCTCTCCTTCCTTCCCTCCCTCCCTTCCTTCCTTCTTCCTCCCTCCTTCCCCTTCCTTCTCTCCCTTTCCCTTCTCATTCCTTCCTTTCTCCTTCCCTCCCTCCCCTCTTCCCTCCCTTCCCTCCCCCTTCCTTCCTTCCCTCCCCTCCTTCCTTCCTTCCTTCCCTCTCCTTCCTGCCTCCCTCCCTCCCCTTCTCATTCCTTCCTTTCTCCTTCCCTCCCTCCCTCCCCTCTTCCCTCCCTCCCCTCTCCTTCCTTCCTCCCTCCCTCTTCTTCCTTCTCTCCCTTTCCCTTCTCCTTCCTTCCTTTCTCCTTCCCTCCCTCCCTCCCTCCCTCCCTCCCCTCCTTCCTTCCTCCCCCCTCCCTCTTCCTTCTCTCCCTTTCCCTTCTTCCTTCCTCCCTCCCTCTTCTTCCTTCCCTCCCCTCCCCTCCCTCCCTCCCTCCCTCTCTTCCTTTCATTCTTTCTTGACTAGAAACTTAAGGAGGTCCCAGCAAGATCCCAAAAATTTGGCTGCCTTCTGGAAGGATTTCCTTTTGTGTCCTCTATTCAGCCTCCATCGGTTTTTTTGTTTTGTTTTGGTTTGCTTTTTCTTCAAAAGGAGGCTTGACTGTTTTGCATAAGTCACCCAGGCAGCTGCATTAGGCTGGGCTTATTTTTTTATTTATTTAGCTTTTATCAGGACACAGTTAGCTGGCTCTCCTTGCCGGTTGGAGGTGGCCAGCTGTGCTGGCAGCTGCTGCCAAGATTCAAGATGATGGATGTCGTTGGCCTTGAGCGAAACCAGTTCCCAGGCCCTCCAAAAAGGGGCTGCCGCACCTACTCTGGAGCAGAGAGATAAGGCACAAATGCTTTGTATTTCCTAGGAAATTCAATTAAAAAGAAAAGGGCAATATATAAATACATATATATATTTATGTAAGCACATACTAACCTTTTGTGAGAGTCAAGGAAAGCCGCCAAACACAGGGCAGGCTGGAGAACCACCCCCTGTGCCCACTTCCTCCATTTAGAAAGCAGAAACTCAGTGAGCCAAACCTTCTGCCTTGCCATGTTCCTAGTCCTTAGTGTGGAACGTTTGAATTTTTTTTTTTTTTTTTTTTTATTGAAATTTTTCAAAAGTTTTACAAATAAAAATCCACCCCCCCCTCCCCAACCACCCCCCCCCCCCCGACTTCCCAGAACTGAATATAGGATTATTTAACAAATATTTTAAAAATAACATTTGCAATTTATAAAATAATTAATAATAATAATAAAAATCACAGTAATAATATATATAATAATAATATACATAACATAAACTTTAAAATGAATAATATATACTAAAAAAGAGAAAAAAAAAATAAAAAGAGAAGAGAGAGAGAGAAAGAAGAAAGAAGAAAGTAGACGAAGAATAAAGCATATATATATATATAAAAAAAAAATATATATGAATAATAATACATAAAAAATGTATATATATTTTATGGAGGCCTGCAAGAGCAGTTAAGGTGGGCCAGAAGGATTGAATTCGGTTTTTATTTTTGCTTCATCCTTTCCTCATTAATTCCAGAGGCCCCAACTTAAATAAATGGTGGCAACTTAAATGAGTGTGTTTGAAAAGGGAAATATTTTGGATCTCTGACATTAAGAGGATTAAAAGGTGCAGGATTGCTGTTTGTTTTTAATCCAGGTGAGTGTTTCCACTCTTGGGACCCTGTCCCAGTTTTAAAAGTCATGGAGGACCCCAAACAGCTTTTGTTTGCATAGGTTATATTTATTGATATTTGCAGTGTTAAAATTTGTAGAAAAATTATTGATTAAATCCGCTAAAAATGACTATGAAACTCATTCAGTTTTAAAATCAATAAAATATTTCTCATGGGGAAAAAACCCTTTTTTTAAAAAAAAAAAAAACAATGAGAAGGCTGACGATATTTTACATTTTTGCAATATTTTCAGTATCCCACAAATCATTTTGATTTTCTGGGCCCTTAAGTGAGTTTTGGGAGATGTTCAGGGATCCTTTGACCATACTTTAAGAAACACCATTCTAGTGAGTTCAGAAATGGCATATAATAATAATAGATAATATAATAATAATAATGAGGAGGAGGAGGAGGAGGGGGAAGAAGGAGAAGGGACCTTGGAGGTCATTTAGTCCAACCCCCTGCTCAGGCAGGAAACCCTACATCTGTGGTGGTGAACCTATGGCACGGGTGCCAGAGGCGGCACTCAGAGCCTTCTTTGTGGGCACACACGCTGTCGCCCCAGTCCTAGGCCTTCAGCTGGGTTTTATAAAACGTTTTCACTTTAGGCCTCCGCCACTGTGTGCAAAAAAAAAAAAGGTTCAATCAGTCAATTTCAACTTCTCACGGAAAACAAAAGATCCTGCAAAGTTGGAATTGATTGATTGAACATTTTAGTCCCACCCAGTCTGCCGTTACCACTGCAGCCACGTCCACCCAATGGGCCACACCCAGCCGGTACTTGACGATGCATAAGTGGGTTTTAGATTGCAGTTTGGGCACTCAGTCTCAAAAAGGTTCGCCATCACTGCCCTACACCATTTCAGACAAATGGCTGTCCAATCTCTTCTTAAAAACTTCCAGTGTTGGAGCATTCACCGCTTCTGGAGGCAGGTTCTTCCACTGATTCATACTCCTCCGTGTGATCTACAGCCATACAACAATAACAATAATAAAGTTGGAGGGGACCTTGGAGGTCATCTAGTCCAACCCCCTGCTCAGGCAGGAAACCTTATACCGTTTCAGACAAATACAGGTCGTCCTTGAATTATGACTGTATTGGAGCCTGTCCAGGGCAGTCATAACTTGTGGCAGTAAAAGAAATTGATCGTGTTGTTTTATGATTTTACAACCTTTTCAGTGTCGTTAAGCAAATCGCTGCAATCATTAAGTGAATGTCACAGTCATTAAATGAACTAATGTCTGGTCCCGGGTTTGCTGAAAACGGGAAGGAAATGCCGTGTTTTGGCAAAAATGTCATAAAACATAGTCACAGGAGCCCAGAAGGCCGCAAACAGCCATAAATTCAGGCGCTGTTGCCGAGCGCCTCAACAGTCACTAAACAACTAGTCGTAAGTCAAGGACTATTCAATCATCTGTTGCTGGTGATTTTTTTCCCCCCTGCTTAAATGTGTAGGTTGGGCAAAGGAATGCTTTTAATGAAAAGCAGGGAAAGTATTGTTCTCAGTAAATCAATGAACGCAAGAAGCAGTTTTGAGTGGAGAAATGATTTTTAATCCCTTGAATTCCTTTTTTGGTTCACTTTGGAAAGCAGAGACGGCGCGTGATCAAACCAAGTTTCACCCTGGTTGTGCGTAAAATCATGGCTTGGCTTTAACTTGGTTGAAAGCATTCTGGCACAGTCTACACAAAGTTGAATCTTAATTTTGTTCTCTCATGAATGCAGTTTTTGGGAAAAAGGAATTTCCTTGTGGGCGGGGCCAAGAACCAGGGCAAGTTTGACCAAAATGAATGTGAACATAGTATATACAGCAGGGTCTTCAAACTTGGCCCTTTTATGACTAGTAGACTTCAACTCCCAGAATTCCTCAGCCAGCATGGGGAAACTATGGCCCCTTCATAACTTGCAGACTTCAACTCCCAGAATTTCTCAGCCAGCATGGAGGAACTATGGCCCCTTCATAACTGGCAGACTTCAACTCCCAGAATTCCTCAGCCAGCATGCCTGGCTGAGGAATTATGGGAGTTGAAGTCCATAAGTCATAAAAGGGCCAAGTTTGAAGACCCCTGATATACAGGTTATCCTTGACTTCCAACCACAATGGAGCCCAAAATTTCTCTTGCTAAACCAGACAGTTGTTAAGTGAGCTTTGCCCCAATCTTATTACCATTCTTGCCACAGTTGTTAAGTTGCAGTTGTTAAGTTAGTAACACGGCTTTTAAGTGAATCTGACTTCACTTGTTAGAAGTTTGCAAAGGTGATCTAGATGATTAATTAGAAAAGAAGCTTAATAATGAGGTGGATATTTAATTGTTATCTTTAAAATTACCAAGAAATGTATTAATTTAAGGTTGACAAAAGAGAATATTATTGGAAGAAGAGAAAGCGACTATATGGAATATGGAACTAGAAAAACCAACTGTTAGTGATTATTTGTTAATGCAAATCCAGACAACACATTGTTTACCAAATATAATAATAATAATTAATAATAATAAAGTTGGAAGGGACCTTGGAGGTCATCTAGTCCAACCCCCTGCTCAGGCAGGAAACCCTATCCCATTTCAGACAAGTGGCTGTCCAGTCTCCTCTTAAAAACTTCCAGTGTTGGAGCATTTACAGCTTCTGGAGGCAGGTTGTTCCACTGGTTAATTGTTCTGACTGTCAGGAAGTTTCTCCTTAGTTCTAGGTTGCTTCTCTCCTTAATTAGTTTCCATCCATTGCTTCTTGTCCTGCCTTTAAGTGCTTTGGAGAATAGCTTGACTCCCTCTTCTTTGGGGCAGCCCTTGAGATATTGGAACACTGCTATCATGCCCCCCCCCCCGCCTCATCCTTCTCTTCATTCAACTAGACGTACCCAATTCCAGCAACCGTTCCTTATATGCTTTAGCCTCCAGTCCCCTGATCCTCTTTGTTGCTCTTCTCTGTACTCTTTTTAGAGTCTCAGCATCTTTTTTACATTGTGGTGACCAAAACTGGATGCAGTATTCCAAGTGTGGCCTTAACCAAGGCATTGTAAAGTGGTATTAATATTTCACGTGATCTTGATTCTATCCCTCTGTTAATGCATATTGATGGGGATATGTTAAAAAAAAACAATAAAACATTTTTTTTTACAAAAAAAAAAGTTTGCCAATGATGATCACATATGTTCCCGGGACACTGCAACCATTATAAATACAGGCCAGTTGCCAGGCGTTCCAGTTTTGATCACATGAAAACAGGGATACTAGTTGTAAGTGTGAAAGTCCCTTTTCCCAGTCCTGTTGTAACTTGGAATGGTCACTAAATGAACTGTTGTATGCCAAGGACTACCTTTATGCAAACATTTTCTTGGTTCATCCATTTCTTTTCCTCTTAATCTTGTTTCTCCTTTCCCCACTTCTGTATCCTCTCCCCCCCCCACACACTCTTTACAGTAAAACTATTTAAATAATAATAATACTTTGCTGGCCATAGTGTGGAGCTTTGATTCAGATTCCATGTCAGGAAGGAATTTTAATTGTGGGTGCAGCAATTGCAATTGCAGGCGCGTGGAAAGGGCAGAGAAAAAACATGTTAACTTGTGTGCTGTTAACTCTTCTAAAATTCAGAAGGGTTTTTGTTTTTTTCTGTTGCTCAGGCTCATAGAATTGTGGGGTAGAAAGAGGTCTCCACGGGCATCTAGTCCAGCCCTTTGCAATGGCCAGGAAAGACCGTGTGATAGAATTGGGACTGGGAAGGGACCCCCAAAAGTAATCTAGTCCAGCCCTTTGCAGTGGGCATTAAAGTCAGTATCAGAATAGAGGACTGAGAAGGGTTCCCCCCCCCCCCAAAAAAATAATCTAGTCCAGCCCTTTGCAACGGGCAGGAAAGCCAGTTAGTGTGAGAATTGGTGACTGGGAAGGGACACCCAAGGGACATTCTAGTCCAGGGGTAAGGCAATCTTGGCTCTTTTATGACTCGGGGACTTCAACTCCCAGAATTCCTGAGCCAGCCATGCTGAGGGGAAAGGGAGAGGTTTTCAAGCTGAGCCATGCTGGCTCAGGAATTCTGGGAGTTGAAGTCCACGATTCATAAAAGAGCCGAGGTTGCCTACCCCTGTTCTAGTCTAATTCTTTGCAATCTTTAAAATCCTCCAGAGATGGAGAATCCACAATCTTGTCTATTTCTAGCCTTGTTGCACGTGGGCCATTGCTATGTTCGGCCATCATCATAATACCTATCTCTTAGTAAAATCGGGAGATGAGTTCAAATCCTGCAGGGACAACTCCAGAAATTAGGAAACAGGCCTAGATTTCATCAAGCAAGCAGCTATTTTAATTTTCTCTCTCCTTCTTCCAGTATTATGAGATGTCCTATGGCCTCAACATCGAAATGCATAAACAGGTGAGATTTTAAGATTATTCTTGTCTCTTCAAGGGACTTTTAAGGCAATCTTAATACCGGTAGTTCTCGACTTAACGGCCACCATTGAGCCCAAAATTTCTGTTGCCAAGCGAAACATTTGTTAAGTGAAATTTGCCCCACGTTACGACCTTCCTTGCAACTTCCTTGTTAAATGAATCAATGTAGTTGTTAAATTAGTCGAATTTTGGCTAAGTGGATCCGACTTTCCCCCCATTGACTTTATCAGAAGATTGCAAAGGGGGAATCACGTCCCCCCCCCCCGGGGACACTGCAACTGTCATAAATATGAGTCAATTGCCAAGCCTCTCAATTTTGATCACATGGCCATGGGGATGCCACAACGGTCGTAAGCAGTGGTGTGATTCAAATACCTCAACAACCAGTTCTCTGCGTGGATGCAGGCCTGGCCCTCTGAAGCCTAGAATGGACTTCTGGAAGTAGCATCCGTGCACTTCCAGTGGGCTGTTCTAGGCCTGGGAGGTCTCCAGGCCTAGAACAGGTTTCAGGAAGTGGCTTCCATGTACTTGTGGATCAGGCCTAGAACGGACTTCCGGAAATGGCATCCATGCACTTCCAGTGGGTTGTTCTAGGCCTGGGAGGCCTCCTCCAGGCCTAGAACGGACTTCCGGAAGCAGTGTTCATTCATCCGGTTCTCCGAACTGAACAAATTTAGCTGCCGGTTCTACCGAACCGGTGCGAACTAGCTGAATCCCATCACTGGTCATAAGTGTGAAAACGTCATAAGTCACTTTTTTCAGTGCTGTTGTAACTTTGAACGGTTACTAAATGAACTGTTGTAAGTTGAGGATTGCTTGCATATGCAGCTGGATCAGGAGTGGGTTTTTTTCTCACCTCAACTCCTTCTCCCTTGGGTTATAGTATCATTTCAGGAGAATTTGAGGTCACCGGCTACGTGCTGTCTGTGATTATATTCAGGGCCACCCTCTCCACCCCTTCAAACAAGCAGAGCCCTTACAAACAACCGGGCGTGCCTGCCAGACACTAGCTAAATATAATTGAAATTTCATTTAAATGGCATTTAAATTAAATTGCAGCTAATCCGATTTGTTCCTCCTGCATATCATCATCTACCTGTTCTGACTTACTGCACCTTTTGCAAAAGACCGCATCTGGTCTTTTCAAGATGCTGTGCTAGGGCAAACAAATTTAATTAAAAACGGGGTTTATTAGCTCCACCCAGCTCGTTTCTTTATTCTTGTCCTAATTTTTTTTTTTTTAAACTGAGATGCAATTTTAGGCTACTATGCAGCCCAGAGGTGAATGAATTATGGCCCTTTTAAGACCTGTGGACTTCAACTCCCAGAATTCCTGAGTCAGCCATGCTAGTTCAGGAATTCTGGAAGTTGAAGTTCACCGGTTGAAAAGGGCCCATGGTTGCCCACCCCTGGTGTAGCCCAGTAAACTTCTGCCAGCTCTTCTAACGCCCATTGTTAGACCAAGTTTAAACCATGGAGCTGACTTATTTATTTTAGAAATGACCATGAATAGGAGCAGGTTGTGCTTTATTTAAGCCAAGAGGCTGAATTGTATGAAATTACAATTACGATTCCCATATCCCTTTTTTCTTAGAAGAACCAGATTTCCCCCCAAAACATGTTGCTCCTTTTCAGTGGGGATATTGGGACATTCCACTCAGCCACTATCTGCATCAGTGTTTTTCAAAATGGCGACTTTAAGATGGGTGGACTTCAACTTCCAGAATTCCCCAAACAGTATGCTTTAAGGTGGGTGGGCTTCAACTCCCAGAATTCACAAGCCAGCAGGCTTTCAGAGGGTAGACTTCAGCTTCCAGGGTTCCCCAGTCAGTAATGCTTTCAAATGGGTGGACTTCAATTCCCAGAATTCCCTAGCTGGTATGCTTTAAAATGGATGGACTTCGACTCCCAGAATTCCCTGGCCAGAATGTCCATCCATCTTAAAGTCACCAATTTGAGAAAGGCCACATAATTCCCATCTTTTCTTCAGGCATTGGTTTTGCTCGCTTTTAATTGTTTCCATTCAGTAAAAATTGACATGGTCCACCCAGCCACGTGGAAGACCTGTGTGCATTCACACAATGCAGCCTCCACGAATCGGTTGATAGTTCAAAGTATTGTGTGAAAGCAGAAACCTGATGAATACATCTTTCAACAGTGTCCTAAGACGGTAACCTTGCCCATTGTTCAGGAAGTTCCACCAGAACAGAGAGCGTGTCACCTTCGCACCATGCAAAAGACGCAACCGTTGCGCATTTTGACATTTGCAGCCTCTCTTGTCGAACAGCCGTTGAGGGTATCTTTTGCACAATGCTGCAGTGATGCAATAGGCTTTGGAGTCTGGGTTGTTGCTGCCATATAAATGCACTGGCACATCCTGGTTTTGTCGCCTTGTGCCAAGCAGCTGACTGAAGTATCCTCCTCCGGATTAACCTTGTGCCTAATCTTCCATTTCAGGCTGAAATTGTCAAGCGGTTGAATGGCATTTGCGCCCAGGTGTTGCCATATCTGTCGCAAGAGGTAATTCACCTTTCTTTGCTCTGTTAGATTTTTATTTATTTACCTCCCACCCTTATTTGTACAAAAAACTCAAGGTAGTGAACATACTCTACACCTGTTCCTCCTCCTCCAGTGACTGGCCCAAGGTCACCCAGCTGGCTTTCATGCCTAAAACGGGACTAGAACTCCCAGTCTCCTGGTAATTGGGCCAAAGTCACCCAACTGGCTTGGCATTCATGCCTAAGGTGGGACTAGAACTCCCATCTCCTGGTGATTGACCCAAAGTCACCCAACTGGCTTTCATGCCTAAGGTGGGACTAGAATTCACCATTTCTGAGCGATTGGCTCACCTAGCTGACTTTCATGCCTAAATCGGGACTAGAACTCACCATCTCCTGGTGATTGGCCCAAAGTCACCCAGCCGACTTTCATGCCTAAGGCAAGACTAGAACTCGCCGTGTCTGGTGATTGGTTCAAAGTCACCCAAGGCAGCTTTCATACCTAAGCCTGGACTAGAATTCCCATCTCTTGGTGAATAGCCCAAAGTCACCCAGCCAACTTCCATGCCTAATGCGGGATTAGAACTCACAAATTGGCTCAAAGTCACCCAAGGCAGCTTTCATACCTAAGGCTGGACTAAAATTCCCATCTCCTGGTGCTTGACCCAAAGTCACCCAACTGGCTCTCATGCCTAAGGTGGGACTAGAACTCACCATCTCTGGGTGATCGGCTCAAAGTCGCCTAGCTGACTTTCATGCCTAAAGCAGGACTAGAACTCGCCATCTCCTGGTGATTGGCTCAAAGTCATCCAGCTGGCTTTCATGCCTAAGGCGGGACTAGAACTCACCGTCTCCTGGTGATTGGCCCAAAGTTACTCAGACAGCTTTAATGCTGAGCCAGACCTAGAACTCACTGTCTCCTAGTGATTTGTCCCAAAGTCACCCAGCCAGCTTTCATCCCTAAAGTGGGACTAGAACTCACTGTCTCCTGGTGATTGGCTCAAAGACACCCAGCTCAGCTTTCATGCCTAAGGAAGAACTCACCCTAATTTAGCTTTGAAAAGTATGGTATCTCTGCTTGCCTTAAGACAGGGGTCTTCAAACTTGGCAACTTTAAGACTTGTGGACTTCAACTCCCAGAATTCCTCAGCCAGCCCTGACTGGCTGAGGAATTGTGGGAGTTGAAGTCCACAAGTCTTCAAGTTGCCAAGTTTGAAGACCTCTGCCGTAAGGGCCTTATCTGCCCCAGTATCTGAATCTTCACCCCTTCACATCCTTCCTCCCTCCCTGCTTCAAGTAAGGACTGTAAGAGGCTTTGGAAAGTCCTCTGATTATAATGGCAGACATTGGAAGTGGGAGGAATCTGAAGCAGTCTAGGGTCCCTCTTGAGTACAGAGTTAACGGCATTTCCCGGTGGAGGTGATTAAAGGAGAATTGGCAGAATAATAACGGTACAAAGCAAAGATAGGATCAATAGCCGCAGGCCCCCTTGGGTGCAATCCCAAAACATCTGGAACACCACTTGAACGTCATCAGCATTAACAAAATCTCCATCGGTCGATTGCAAAAGGCACATCTGGCCGCCTGCGATGGTCCCTTTAATGTTCAGTGGCAACATCTGCCTGTCCCAGATCCTTGGGTCTGTCTGTCCCAGGTCTCCTTAGGTGGACAGAAATGCCAAATCCGGTCCAAACATCTGGCCCAGCCTTAATAATGGCAACGCCATTTTCTGGCAGGAATTGGCTCGTAAACCACGCTGCCCTTTCTCTGTTGTTGATTTTTCTGCTGATCGTAAACCACGCTGCCCTTTCTCTGTTGTTGATTTTTCTGCTGATCGGTTGGTTTCATCTCCTAATTGTCTTCTCTTTCTCCTCCTCCCCCCCACAGCACCAACAGCAGGTCCTGGGAGCTATTGAGCGTGCCAAACAAGTGACTGCCCCTGAACTCAATTCCATCATTCGGGTCTGTGATGCTCTTTTTAATTAGAATTGCTGGAAGGTGTGTGTGGGGTCTTGGAGATTTAACCATTGGGAGCAGTCCCCGTTTTCATAGATCTTCTAGTGTGATGGCCACACGACTTTGCGAGTTTAGAGCTGGGCAAGGGTGCCCCCAAACTTGGCAACGTTAAAATGTGTGGATTTCAACTCCCAGAATAGGTACCGTCGTATCTTTCCCCCCCCCCCCCCGTTTAGAGAGGGCTGTTCATTCTTAACATAGATGGCCTCTTTGCCCCCTCTTTCAAACCAACGGATCTGTACATTGGGGAAATAAAACAACCCCTTCATAAACTCACAACATAGGAGAACAAACCCATCAGGATAAGATTCAGCAGTCCATTTTGCATTTGAAAAACAAAAGGTCGCTCTTTCGAAGACAGCAAAGTCCACATTCTGGATAGAAAGGACCGCTGGTTTGAAGGGGGGGGGGGCAAAAAGACCACCTATGTTAAGATTGAACAGCCTCTCAAGAGGGGTGGGGGGTGGGAAGGATACAACACTACTTATCTCCTCTTTACATCACAGTCCTTTCAGCAGTTCCAAGAAGGCTGCACCCCATTTGCAATAGATCAAGGGCAGGCAACCTTGGCTCTTTTATGACTCCTGGACTTCAACTCCCAGAATTCCTGAGCCAGCCATGCTGAGGGGACAGGGAGAGGTTTCCAAGCTGAGCCATGTTGGTTCAGGAATTCTGGGAGTTGAAGTTCACGAGTCATAAAAGAGCCAAGGTTGCTTACCCCTGGTCTAAGGGCTATTCTAAGTGTTATTTATATAGCCTAGGGTAGGTGTAGGCCACCTTGGCTCTTTTATGACTCGTGGACTTCAACTCCCAGAATTCCTGAGCCAGCCATGCTGAGGGGACAGGGAGAGGTTTCCAAGCTGAGCCATGTTGGGTCAGGAATTCTGGGAGTTGAAGTCTACAAGTCATAAAAGAGCCAAGATTGCCCACCCCTGCCCTAGATAAACCTCCAAGTGACCTCAGTTGCTGTCAGAAGGAATGCCAGCGACCAGATAACTGCCAAGGATTATAAATCCTTCCATCCTCCACCATTCAGTCAGAACTGAAGAAGCTTCTTGGATGGGAAGTGAAACCTCTTCAAGGAGAAAACGAAGAAAGTTCAGTTGCCCTTTGAAAGAGCAGCTTTGGGACGCAACCATGATGACTGAGAATCTCCACAGACTTGTCAGCTTTAAGATGTGGAGGGTTTCAATTCCCAGCACTTTGGAGAATTGAAGTCCGCACATGTTAAAATAGCTGTTCTCAATCTGTGGGTCGGGACCCCATTTGGGGTCAAATGACCATTTCACGGGGGTCGCCAAACAATGCAGTCCACCATTTTTTTCCCCCTTTTCCTTAGCTGTGCTACTCCCTTTTATTCTATTGGCTTTTGAAAGCCAATAGAATAGACTCTCTTGAATAGAGTCTAATTCTATTGGCTTTCAAAAGCCAATAGGAATTGTCCAGGCTGTCTCTGCCCTGCTGAGCCCGCCAAAAGTCCCATTCTGCAAACGGTGCTGCACCAGTTGAGTAGTCCTCGACTTACGACCGGTTGAGTAGTCCTCGACTTATGACCTGTTGGGGGTCGCGGCATTAAAAAGGTTGAGAACCACTGTGTTAAAAGGACTCAAGATTGAAAAATGCTGAGTTAAAGTATCTTGCTTCGGTTCTGTTGGTCTCCCAATCAGAATGCTTTCCTGTATGGATCGGCCTACTTTACAGGGCTCTTGTGAGGATGATGGCGAAGAATCGGGAACGCTGTTTGATTCCCCTTGGAGGAAAAAGGCAGTTTTATATTCAGCAGTGTCTATTTAAAAACCAAGAACAGGCCGGAAGTGGGCGGCTGGGTGGTAAACTCCAAATTTAATGTAATTGATGTGTGCAGGCACATTAACAGGTATATTACTTTACTGGGCAAAAACCACATCTGAGCATGCAAACTTAATAATTGGATATTATGTAATTATATATTATATAATATCAACCGGCGTGGTGGCCTAGAGGTGAAGCCGCTTCTCACTTGGAAGATTGAGAATTCAGTCCGAGGCACCTGCAGATGTTTCTCTATCAGAGCGCAAAGGGAAAATACGTGGTGTGTGTGTGTGTGTGTGTGTGTGTGTGTGTGTGTGTGTGTGTGTGTGTGTGTGTATATATATATATATATATATATATATATATATATATATATATATATATAGCACAAGTAGTGCTCAACTTAACAACAGTTCATTTAGTGACCGAAGTTATGGCACTGAAAAAAGTGACTTACGACCGCTTTTCACACTACTGACCATTGTAGCATCCCCGTGGTCACGTGATCAAAATTGAGATGCTTGGCAACTGACTCCTATTTATGACGGTTGCAGCGTCCCGGGGTCATGTGATCCCCTTTTGCAACCTTCTGACCTGCAAAATCAATAGGGAAACCATATTCACTCAACGTGTTCCTAATTTAATTGCAGTGATTCACTTAACAACTGTGACAAGGGTGTAAAATAGAGCAAAATTCACTTAACAAATGTCTCACTTAGCAACAGAAATGTTGGGCTTGTGTGGTCGAAAGTCAAGAACCACCTGTAACCTGTGCATAGTTGCTACTGCCTCGTACCATCCCTTCCATCTGGTGCTACTAAACACGATTGCCAGCACTTTTAATTCTCTTTTTAGCCAAAAGGGGACAATTACAGATAGTCCTCTATTTAACAATGAGTCATTTAGCAATGGTTTGAAGTAAGGACAGACACACACACACCCTCAAAATAATTACACCCTGCAATGGCTGTCTCTGTCATAGTCAAAGGACCACATTTAGGATGCTCCAGAAACAGGCCCACATTTGCAGCTGCCTGCCGTTTTTGCTGGAAATGAATGTTTATTTCTAGCTCCCAGCAAAAAATGTCCCATAATGAACAATGAGTTTGCTTAAGGATCCCCAGCGTTCGCTTAAGGACCAGCACAAAAAAGGTTGTACACTTTGGGCCAGTCCTGTGGTGGTCTTTTACAACTCTCATGACCTTTGACCTGCTCCTGCCTTTTTTCAGGGAGGACAGTCAGTAAGCGGCTGGTCGTAAATCAAGGATCACTTGTTTTCTGTGTTTTATTGGATAAGGATGAGAAACACATACAGGTAGTCCTCGACTTATGCCCACAACTCAGCCCAAAATTTCTGTTGCTAAGCCAGGCACATTTGTGAAGTGAATGTTGTTAAATTATTATTGTGCAGTTGTTAGGTTAGTAACACAGTTGTTAAGTGAATCTGGCTTCCCCATTGTCAGAAGGTCGCAAAAGGGGATCCCGGGACACCGCAACCGTCATAAACATGAACCAGTTGCCCAGCGTCGGAATTTTGATCACGTGACCGTGGGGAAATACAGTCTCAAGTTGCGTTTTTTCAATGCCCTTTTAATTTTGAACGGTCACTAAATGAACTCTCGTAAATCGAGGACAACCTGTACTTTTAACCTGTGCAGACCTCCAATTCCCAGAATTGGGGAATGCTGCAACGGTCGTTAAGTGTGAAAAACGGTCGTAAGTCACACTTTCCAGTGCCATTGTAACTCTGAACGGTCACTAAATGAACCATGGTTAAGTCAACTACCTGTAGCAACGAATCGGAAGATGGTGGGGAATGAAAGAATGTCTCATTTTTCTTTCTTTTCTGTTTTTCTCTCCCGGATCTTCCCCCTCCCACAGCAGCAACTCCAGGCCCACCAGCTCTCTCAGCTGCAGGCGCTGGCTTTGCCCCTCACCCCGCTCTCCGTGGGCCTGCAGGCCCCTTCCTTGCCCGCCGTGAGCGCCAGCACCGGCCTGCTCTCCCTCTCTGCCTTGGGCTCCCAGGCCCACCTCTGCAAGGAAGACAAGAACGGACACGACGGAGACACCCACCAAGACGACGACGGGGACAAATCCGACTAGGTGGATCTTGTCCGGCTGGGGGTTGGGGGGGGCGCGAAGGGCAGCGTGGGGCGATCGGGGGGGGGGAGCAGAAGATGCCACCATTTAATCCAATTCCAGGGGTAGCGGGCGGGGTGGGGGAGGCGAGAAAAAATTGCAGCAATAACATTTGAGCTCCATTGTTTTCCTGCCCCTCCTCCGTTCCAGCCCCACAGCAGGCATGAACGGTTCCCCAAGCAATTTGGGGGGGGGGTGTCTTTGCATATATGTTAAGGGCCAGGTGAGGAAGGGGTGTGATTCCCCCCCCTTTTTTCTATCTCCCCTCCACCTTTTTAATTAAATCCAAAATATTAAACTTGCATCAGAATATCCGCAGTGCGTTCTTAAACTGGGTTACTCCCTTCCCAACCCAGGCAATTGCTTGGCCCGTTGGACAAGAAACCATAATAAACTGGGTTATCCAAGTTATCCTAGATTTGTGGGGGAACCAGAGATCCTGGGAATTCGCCTCCCCCCCGCCGCCCCCATCCCACATTCTAGCTGGCAGATTTTCCGCTGCAGGTGGGGGAGGACAAGTCACTGGGACCCTCCCAGCCTGTATATTTGAATCTTGGCCTTCTCAAGATGGGTGGACTTCAACTCCCAGAATACCCTGGTCTCACTTTTAAGAAACCCTGACCTAGATTGATCGTGTGGTGGAGGTGGTTAAGATGGCATTGTACAGGTTGTCCTTGACTTAATGTCCCAATTTCCTTTGCTAATTGAGGCGGACGTGAAATGGCTCGCGCCTGATTTGACAAGGTTTTTTTTCACCCGTGGCTGCTAAGCGAATTCCTGCAGGAAGGGGAATGCTGGGAGTTGAAGTCCACACATCTTAAAATGGCCACAGTTGAGAAACTGAGGCCTAGCCAAAAAAAAAAAGCATAATCCCAACATTCCTTGTTTGATTTGAGTTCCATGGCACCTGGTTCCAAAGAGCTGGCGCCCACAGTTTTGTGCTCATGGAGGGCCACCCTCTCCCAGTGTGTGTATGTGGGGGGGGGGGGGCAGACCCCACTGGGAGACGGCAGTCCGACAGGACGAGAGATAAAATGGCCGGCAAACTTTTGGAAACCCGCCCACCTCTTCAACATGCCCCCAAATGGAGAGATGTGGCTTGATGCTGGCGTGTTGCACCCAGCCTCCCTCCCTTTCCGTTCCCCAATCTTCACCATTTGGATACAGGTGGTCCTCGACTTACAACAGTTCATTTAGTGACCGTTCCAAGTTGCAACGACACTGAAAAAAGTTACTTATGACCCTTTTTTTTCATCCTTAATGACCGTTGCAGCGTCCCCGGGGTCACGTGATCAAAATTCAGACGCTTGGCAACTGACACATTTACGACGGTCGCAGCGTCCTGGGGTCACGTGGTTTGACAAGCAAACTCAATGGGAGAAGCCAGATTCACTTAACCATGTGACTAACTTATCAGCGGCAATGATTCACTTAACAACCCTGGCTAGAAAAGTCGTAAAATGGGGCAAAACCCCCGTGACAAATGTCTCACTTAACAACAGAAAGGTTGGACTCAATTGTTGGCCGTAAATCAAGGACTATCTGTATTCTAGGGGTTTTTGAGTCTGTCTCCAGCTAATCCTCCCAACAGCACAATTCCCCCCTTGTGGATTAGACTCCCCCCCCCTCAAAAAAAATAAATCCTAGATCCAGCAGTCTCCCCCTTACTTGCAAGTGCTCAGCAGCTGCGTTCAGCCAGGAAAGGCATTACAGCTAGTCCTCAATTTATAACCGTTCATTTAGTGACCATTCAAAATGGCAACAGCACTGAAACACGTGACTTACAATCAGCCCTTGCACTTACACGACCATACGCAGCATCCCCCGTGGTCACGTGATCAGAATTCAGATGCTTGACAACTGGCATGCATTTACGGCGTGTGCATCATCCTGGGGTCATGTTTTAACATAATAACAGAGTTGGAAGGGACCTTGGAGGTCTTCTAGTCCAATCCCCTGCTCAAGCAGGAAACCCTATACCGGGGGTCTTCAAACTTGGCCATTTTAAGACTTGTGGACTTCAACTCCCAGAATTCCTCAGCCAGCCAGGGCTGGCTGAGGAATTCTGGGAGTTGAAGTCCACAAGTCTTAAAATGGCCAAGTTTGAAGACCACTGCCCTCTACCATCATCCCTTTTAACTCTGGCTTCTGCTCCTCAGAAAATTCAGGAAGTGATTGTCCTTAACCACCTTTTGCCACTTTATCCCAGCTGGCCTCTGAGAAGGAAAGCCGGATTCACTTAAGAACTGCATGATTCGCTTAACAACCGCCGTGATTTGTTTAACCGCCACAGCAAACGGATAATAAAACCGGGTGTGATTGAACAGCCGCCTTGCTTAGCTGTGGAAATTCCGCTGTCGTTTGTGGTCGTAAGTCGAGGACGATTGTACTCAAAGCAACGGCATCCACTTCTTAAAGGCTATCCCGCCTTAAAAGGGTGATCCGTTTGCTTTTGGGCAATTAGGCGAATGGCCAGACGTGAATGGATGCTTCCCACTGGTGAAGGCAAGCCAGGTCGGGATTTTTAAGGGTTCTGGCTGGGGCTGACCCCTGTCAGACTTTACCAGTGCAAGGCATTGGGCAATTTGCAAGCCGCCAAATCCCACTGGATTCTTCATCAGTCGTTTAATTTGTTTTTCCCTCCTCGCACACATCTGCCATGGGGCTGCTTCTCTGCAGAATCCTTTGCTTTGAATTTGATCCCTATCGCCACTGACCCCCGACCCCCAAACACTTCCAAGCAACATTTTCTGGGCTTTGTGAAGCCCCCTCCGAGACCCCCACCCGGCTGGACTCCTCTCTATCGCTGGCCCTCCTCTGCTCCCACCAGCACTGTTTTTAGCTAAGCAAGCACCTTTGTCATTATGCATGTCTCTTGTTTTTAAGGTAGCACAGAAGCAAAAATTTTATATATATACATATATATATAAATATATATAAATATATAAATATATTAGTTGGGTAATCTCTGCCTCTGGGTGAACCTCTCAATGGCGTGTTGTTTTTAAGCCTTGCCTTGCTGTTTCCTTTCCCTGCCCTCCCTTTTCGAGTTAAAAAAAAAAAAGCTGGAATTTGGAAACTGTCTCAAACAGACGGCTGGACTCCCTTTTCGAAGGTGGATTAGTCAGCCAGTTGGTTTGAAATTAGGGGGGGTTTGAGGGGGATGGAAAAGGGTGTGAAGGGGAGGGGGCTCCTGAATGCCCCTTCTAATTGCTTAAAACAAAAAACACCCCAAGGATCCTTGCAGCTATTCTATCTTTCCGTATGCTAGTTCTCGACTTTTTTTTTTCCCCCTCCGATTCCCCAAATAAATTTTACGACAAAAGAGAATTTTTCGTGTTTGTATATATTCCTTTAGAGAGAGAGAGAGAGAGAGAAATCTTGTTGGCTCCGTGTGTTTATTAATCACTTGACCCTATATTAAGAGGAACTGAAGACAAATTCTGTATTCAAGATGTAATAGCTGTGCCTTTTCAAATAAAGAAATCAGATTGTTGGTTAAACTGCGACCGCTTCATTACTGCCTCTTTAGATTCCTTTTTTTCCCTTCGGTTTTGTTTATTTTGGCCCGCACTCAGACTTCTGAGGCTGAAAATAAAATTATTGTTGAAATGTGTTGGTTAAAAGTCTCTAATGAAAGTGTTGTATAAAAACATGGTGTTTGGAACCCTCCCTTGACTGTAACACCAATAGAGGGCACTGTGGTTTTATCAAGTGTTCCATTTGAGTGCCTCTGTTGGCAAGGGGCGGTACTGCACTATCAAATCAGTGGTCAGGTGACAAAAGAGCCAAAGGGGATTGATCTTGGCTTTATAGAAACAAGTCTAACCAGGTTTGTTTCCATGTCAAACTTTTTGCTTGGGATAACACTCAGCATATAAAATCTCAATGGTACTATATCTACATGGAAGGAAGCATGCAGTGGGGTACCCCAAGGTCCTGTCTTAGGCCCAATACTCTTCAACATCATAAACAGCTGAGGGGATAGCAGGAGAACTCGTCAAATATGCAGATAACACTTAGAACTCTAGAACGGGGGTCTTCAAACTTGGCCCTTTTGTGACTTCTGGACTTCCAACTCCCAGAATTCCTCAGATTTTTCACTTAGAGCAGTGGTTCTCAACCTTTCTAATGCCGTGACCCCATAATACAGTTCCCCATGTTGTGGTGACCCCCAAGTGGGTGTGGCCACCAATAAGAGGGAGTAGGACAGCTAGGGAAAAGGGAAAAAAATAGCGGACAGCGTGGTTTGGCGACCCCCGTGAAATGGTCATTTGACCCCAAATGGGGTCCCGACCCACAGGTTGAGAACCACTGACTTAGAGAATGAGCTGTTATATCCATGGCACGCACGTTGCCGCATGCATAAATGGGCCACTGGTGTCCACGTGGCACTGGAGATGGTGCTAGCGTCCCCATGCATGTGGAAATAGGGCCGCTAGTGCTTGCGAGTGGGGAAGGGCTCGTCAGCTATTCGTGGGGCCTGGTGGCCAACAGGCCGGGTTGTGGACCATAGGTTGGGGATCCTTGGCCTAGTGGACTAGACTTGCCTTTGCTTTGAGGACTAGTATTGGCTTCATTTGAGTAGCCTGTAGAACTAATTGGGATTGAGCTGATGCCGGCCCGGTAATTGCTGGGGAATTCAGGTTTGGAATTAAGACTCTTTACATCTGTGGTGTGTGCTCGTGCATGCGTGGGATAGTACACTATCCTTTGTTGATGCAACCTAGGATTGCATTAGCTATTTTTTGAGGCTGCAGCACAATTGGCTTATATTTAAGCGATTGTTCACTAGGATTCCTACATCTCTCTCTGCTACTGCTATTGAGCCAAGTGCCACCTATCCTGTACCTGTGCTTTTGGTTATTTTCACATGTGGGTGGGCGGCAATGCGCACATCATGGGTGCACAGTCCACTTGCGCATACATATGCATGCTAGCACCGCCTCCATGTGCATACCGGTTTGTGCGTGTGTGCCTGGGCTATGTGTGTGCACACTTCTCTGATGCTTCCTTTCCTTCTGGGCCGCCAAGCCGGAAAGTTTGGGGAACTCTGCACTAGACAAAAGCAAGTTTGCAAGACAAAGGCAAGTCCACCGGCAAGGCAAAGGCAACAGATGAAGAGACATGATCCGAAGTTCAAGGTAAGAACACACAGCAAGGAAACAAACACGTTCCCAGCATCGTCTTGATCTGTCTGCCTGCTAAACAGCTACTTCTGGTGCAGCCCTTCAAGGAGGGCGAGGCTTTCTTCTCGTGAGTAATCTGGCTGACCTTTGCTCCTGCCTTTTCTCTGCCCTACGTGTTCTTGGATCAGGTTCAGAAGGCAATTCCTCTTCCTTATCGCTGACAGGCTGCAGCTGCTTGCTTTCCTCACCTGAAGCCTCAGGGCTGTCCTCCTGTAGCCGTGCTTCAGCCAAATCTCTCTCGAGACGGCTGCTTGGAGCTACTGACCACTCCAGATGTGCCGGGAATTGGTTCACCCTTGTCTGAACTGACATCTGGAGAAGTATCGGGGAAACATCCGGGGGAATCATCACAGATAGGTCCAGAGTTAACAGGAAATGATGGTTCCCCTCTATACCTCACTAGGGAGGCCATGTTTGGCATATGGTGTCCAGTCTGAGGCCGCTGAAAGGCAGTTAAAACTCGAGTACCCATATTCCTGTTTTAAAGATTATGCTAGAGTTTTCATCTGCTGCCAACTCGGAGATTCTGTTTCCAGCAGTCCTGCTTAGGAGAAGGTCAAAAGGGACTTAGGGAATAATAATTCAAGAGCTGTTGGTTCCCAACCCCATAAGATGGAGACTAAAGGTGAAATCTCATAGTTCATTAGTTGCGTCCCAGTTTTAACAGTTATTTTTAACATTTTCTGCTCCCCCGCAGCCCAATTTTGTCAGGGCCTTCAAATGCGTGCTGGAGTAGACCAACAAAATAACAAAGAAATCAATAAATTAAAAGTTGAAGTGGTTAAGAGGCTGACCTAGAAGTCAGGAGAGGGTGAATTCTAATTTCGCCTTCGGCATGAAAGCCGGCTGGGTGACTTTGGGCCAATCACCAGGAGACAGTGAGTTCTAGTCCTGCCTTGGGCCAATCACCAGGAGAGTGGAAGTCTAGTCCTGCCTTAGGCATGAAAGCCAACTGGGTGACCGGCCAATCACCAGGAGACAGTGAATTCTAGTCCTGCCTTAGGCATGAAAGCGAACTGGGTGAGTGGGCCAATCACCAGGAGATTGGGAATTCTAGTCCTGCCTTAGGCATGAAAGCCGACTGGGTGACTGGGCCAATCACCAGGAGACGGTGAATTCTAGTTCCGCCTTAGGCACAAAAGCTAGCCAGATGACTTTGGGCTAATCACCAGGAAGATAGTGAATTCTAGTCCCGCCTTAGGCATGAAAACCGGTTGGGTGACTTTGAGCCAGTCCCTCCCTCAGCCCAACTCGCCTCACAGGGGTGATGTTGTGGGGGAAATAGGAGGAGGAAGAATATTAGCACCTTTGCCACCTCGAATGACTTCTAACCATAACGAAGGTGGGATAAAAATCTTGACAAAAATAAACAGGAAGAGAAAAAAACCCAAACATTTGTGATTGATCCAAGCAAGCTACTATTAAGTCGCTAATCTGCAAGGATGACCCCAACCTGAGGCAAACCGTAGCCAAGCGTATGGCCCTGGGCCTAAGAAGGCAGGCTGGCCAGAAGCTCAGCTATCCCCCTGGAACTGAGACCGACAGCTGAAAACTATCCAGCCGCCGACAAAATCTTCCTCCTTTCCCCCCCCCCCTCCTCTTCCTACTGGATTTTTGCCCGGCATTGATGGCCCTGGTGCATTTCTGAAGCAGGACAATGGGGGAACGTTTGGCTGGCGTGACTTCCTTCCTCTCTCTCGAAATGTGGCTAATGCATGCGCTGGCTGGGAAAAGGGGAGGGGGAGGAACAGATCGTCAATAATTGAAACCCCACTCAAGAGGCTTTTACAGCAGCAACGAGGACGGGGGAGCGAGGGAAGATAAATTGCCAGTTGCCTTTGCCAGCTCAGGAGCAGGACTCCTGACGGGCGCGGAGCCAGCTTCTAGCGAGCCGAGAGCGTGTGAACAGTTTCACAAATCTATCCTCGGCACAAGCAGGCAGGCCCACAGCAATCTCGGAAGGCCGAGCCGCTGCCAAGGAAGGCTTAGTCTGCCAGAAAGCTGGCAAGATTCAGTCGGCTGGCGTTGGCTGATGAAGGATCAGATCTGGATTGATTCTTCCAGCCCACCAGGAAGGATCTGCCTGCTCAGATCTTCAGGAGAGGAGCCTCCGTTGCGAGTGTACAATCCTAGGGATGGAAGGGACAGCATAACAGAGTTTGAAGGGGGTCTGGAGGTCTTCTAGTCCAGCCCCCTGCCCAAAGAGGAGACCCTATAGCAGGGGTCCCCAACCCCTGGTCCGTGGACCAGTACTGGGCTGCGGCATGCCAGTAACCGGTCCGCACAAACAAGCAAAGCCCCATCTGTGAGATGCAGGCAGCTCACAAAACCACGCACTCTCCGATCCGCAGAAAAACCTTTCTCCATGGAACTGGTCCCTGGTGCCCAAAAGGTTGGGGGCCTCTTCCCTATAGCATTTCAGACAAGTGGTTGTCCTTAAAATTCTCCAGTGATGAAGCACTCATAACTTCTCCATCAGATAACCTTCCTTCCTTCCTTCCTTCCTTCCTTCCTTCCTTCCTTCCTTCCTTCCTTCCTTCCTTCCTATAATTGGAAGGAACCTTTGAGGTCTTCTACTCCAGCCCCCTCCTCAAACAGGAGACCCTATACCATTCCAGACAAATAGCTGTCCAATTTCTTCTTGGAAAACCCCCAGTGATGGAGCACCCACAACTTCTGGAGGCAAGTCGTTCCACGATTAATTGTTCTCACTGTCAGGAAATTTCTCATTTCTAGATGGTTGCTCTCCTTGATTAGTTTCCATCCGTTGTGTCTTGTCCTGCCTTCAGGGCTTTGGAAAATAAGTTGATTGTCTCTTTTTTGTGGCAGCCCTTCAAATATTGGAAGACTGCTATCATGTGACCCCAAGTCCTTCTTTTCATTAAACTAGACATACCCAATTCCTGTAATCGTTCTTCATATATTTTAGACTTTTGTGGTCAGGTAGCCCAACTTCCTCCCTATGGCAGGAATCCTTAGATCAGTGTTTCTCAACCTCAGGCACTTTTAAGTTAGATAGACTTCAACTCCCAGAATTCCCTAGCTAGCATTTTGCCTTAGACCAGGGGTCCTCAAATTTGGCCACTTTAAGACTTGTGGACTTCAACTCCCAGAATTCCCCAGCCAGGCTACAAGGGTTCCTCAATGTAGGACCGGTTGCTTAGCAACCATTTCAAGTTCCAACAGACCTACCTGGGGGGTACCTATGACCTACCTTTGAAGTTCGGATGGCCACCTCCCCCTCTTTCAGTCACATGACTACATTTGGGGTGCTCAGCAACCAGGATACATTTATGGCTGTTTGAAGCATTCTGTGATCACATGACCCTGGTTTATAACGACTTTGCACTAACCACTATTTGCTTGAAAACTTCCACTGATGGAGTCCCCACCATTCCACAATGTGTGCTTTGTGCTATTCTGTGTGGTATTTATATGGTGCCTGTTGTGTGTGGGGGGGGGTTTAGTTGTGGATTGGGGTGCTGATGGCTGGCTATTGTTGGCTGTTGTTTCTTTGTGCTGCCAAGCTCTGGCCTCTTAAGGACTTGATAAGCTGGTGGTAAATCTTGTTGATTGACCAAGAGGGGCCTATCTTCCAGGCTTCAATCACTTCCCTGGCTGTTTTTGTATCTGCTCGTCCAACAATCTTAGTAGCTGCAAAATTGAATGTATCATTGCAATCCTGAGGCAACCAATGAGCTTCCCATATCTCTATCGGTATGACAACAACAACAACTTTATTGTCACTTTGAATGTACACCAATCGGCATACATCAAAATGAAATTTCGTTGCATACAGCTCTCAAAGGGTCACCAACTCCGATATACACTCCTTGTTTGTGGCCAGCTCAAGTTACAGATCTTCCATTTTAGTCTCTAGGGAGTGAACAATGGCAAACAGGACAGATGGAAACGGAGCTCTGTGAGGATTAGCCCTCAAATTAGCTTGTATTCCTGCATGACCACCTCGCCTGCTTTTCTTTTTCTGATCCTGTCTCTTTCACCTTTTCCTTAAAGAGGCCTTGATTCTTTTTGCTCCTGGAGCATGCTGCCACCAACAACAACTCCAAAAGACTCTCTCCCATCCTCTGGGCCAGCCGACAGCCTCATCCAGTTCCTTCACTCCATAAGCCTCGGGACCTCTCTTCCTCTGCCTCCTTCGGAAACAGCCCTGATTTGCAACTGAATCTGTCGCTGGGCCAGCAGTCAGACCTTGCTGCCGGCCGAACAATTTCAAACAGCACCAACGACTTTTAACGGTCTCACCAACAGTTCTGAAACAGCTAGAAACTCGCCATGCCAGCAAAGATTGTCGGTCATATGTCGCATGTTACCTTAGTTCCACCACATTGCTCAAACACATTGAAACCTTCCTATATCCCTTAATATCCCTCCCAAAACTTTTCACCTTCGAGAGCCAATGGCAGCCACAGCCGATCCAGGCACCGCCATCTTAGAACTCTAAGTCTATTATCAGAGAATTAAGAACGGTATTAAGGTGACCAACCGTCCTCCTTTAGGGAGGACAGTCCTCCTTTTGTGAGTTCTGTCCTCCCTCAAAAAGTGTCCTCCTGCATGTCCTCCTTTTCGATATTTGAAGACTAATCTGCAGGGCTTATTTTTTCCCTCATAGAACGCTCAGAATGGCGTTCCGGCACCTTTTTTTGATGGTTTTTTTTTCAACTTTTGCATGAGCTGTACTACTCCCGCTATTGGCTTTCGAAAGCCAATAGGAATTGCTGCTGAGCACGCCAAAACACCCGGCCGGCAAACTTGGCACATGTAAGTTGTCTGCAGCGAAGGCGAATTGGCAGGAACTTTGCACCCCTCCCTGCTACCCAACTACACCATCCCCTAGTTAGTCCCGAAGATACCTGGAGGAGATGCCACGGTAACTTTCTCTTGATCTTCGGCCCTGCTAGGGCAATAATGGCTGCAGACGCAAGAGGCAGAGG